TTTCAACGTTTTTCGTACTGTCGTTCAAGAGAAAAATGATTCGAATCAACACCTAATGGTATTTGGAGACACATTTTAGAAAACTATGTTTTCCAAAGCAAGACTTGATCTATAACACATTTATTCTCAGGTCGTCGAGTATAGAATTGAATTTTGAATAAAATAGTATCAGTGTTAAAATTGAAGAGTAAAAAAAATTACATAACATGGATATAAAAAAGAATAATAATGTCATTCTGCCACAAAAAAGATTTTTCCAATATTTTCACCTTTTTATTTCAAAAATTTTTCTCACAAATATTTCTTCTAAAGTCCTACAACATATTTCAAAAGATACAGCATTTTGTAGCACATTTGAAATTTCAGCAAAATCTTCTTTTTTAAATTTTGATTATTTTCTCCTTTTTTTTGACTTTTTCAGTCAGACTATTGAGCTGGCGTTCATCTTTTTAATTTTACATTGACAAAAAGAAAATTATTTGAAAAACAAAGGTGATAATTTTAAAGAGTGGACAATCCTCTATCGAATAAAGGTGAAATGAAGTGTCTTATGTGCTGTGAAGTGATCCAAAAAGAGGAAAACATTCTGTTCTATTTATTATGGGCCACTCGTTATTTCAATTACGAATCAATATTGATTTTTTTAAAGATTAATCGATACAAAAACAATTGCATCGACATCAATTTTTCAAGTAATATCATCTGAATCATTTTAAACTATAATCTATCTTAATTATTATTAGAATATTATTTCAAATACAGGATTAAATGTTTTGTATAAAAGAATTCGTGAATCACCATTTCCATCGTGTCGTTTTGGTATATAACAATAATAATGGTCTAGATGTCTATAACATTAGTTTTTGTTTCATTCTAGATGTTGTTGACAATTTCAAATATGCATCAAATGGACATGAACATACAGCTGGTTATGATGCTACTTGTACAGCTATTTGTATGACTGAAATGATGGCATATATCGGTATAAAAAAAATTTCCCTCTTTTGTGAAACAAGATTTCGAATGAGTGTTGAAAGACAAGGGTAAAAATTTGAACTCACCCTCACAGATACTGAAAGACGGTACTCATAGACCATAACAGTCTAGAGGTGCATAGTGCACGCCTTTTTTCATACCTTATAGAGTGACTGAGGAAATTTTTCTTATTCTTACTCTACCCTACCACAGTGTGTGCACTGTGTGTATAGCAGGCGAACATGTGATTTACTTGCTCAGAAATTATTGAATATGATGCAGAAAATCATTTTTTAAGAAAAAAAAAAACTTCTCAACGCAAAAATGACTGAGGAGACTTTTGTCTTTGACTTTTCTTCAAAATTCTTGTGTTAGATATCATTCGAAGCATTTAAATGCACTGATTTCGAATACAATATTTTGGTCGATTAAATATTTTTTTCAAATTCAGAAAAACCTACTTTTTTAGAAACCCACTGTGCAATCGAGAAATGTTTGAGCTAGCAAGGATTAGAGACAGTAGATGAAAGAATATTCTGATGAAATTCAATGGTTGGATGTGGATGAATTGCTTCATTTATGGGACTTGTCATTCAGACAATAGAAAACAATATATTACTATTTTTTTAAATTATATCGGGCTAATTTTTGGAAAAAACTGCTTTTCAGTTTCTTTGGCAATTTTGACGAAGCTATTGATACTATTAGATAGACTAATTGTGAATTCTCGTGCACATTACACGCTTGTATTTCTTTTTCAAATTTTTAACCTTAACTCTAGACTCATGAGGCTGATCATTGATTGAAAAATCGACGAACACGACAATAAAATACGTTCGATTATGGAGATATCTCATAATGTGAAAAGAAAATTCTAAAATTCTCGAAAGAATAAATCTTCAGTGCTCTACAATGATTATTCTGATATTGTAGACAAAGCACCAGAAAGTCCCATATCATTCACATTCATTCGATTGAATTATGATTAGGTTGTGTTTCGATAGTTGCCGATCAAAAAATTAACATTGTTTTTAGCAAAATCCATTCTCAATATGAAGTAAGAAACAGTTCAGAATAGCATGCAAACAGATCATTTTCTCTAGTTTTCAATGTTTTTCTGATCGATCTTTCTTTTAACTCTTCTGGTAGCCGGAATCATGAATTGAACATTGCATTGTGATCGAAATAGATAGATTTACAGACACTGTCATGTTTCACATTTTAATCTCACAGAGATTGCATTAACTTTGTTTTTCCTTTGCTTTTTAGCTGAAAAAACTGAATTTAAAGGAAATCCAATTGAGCATGCATTAGTTAATACATTTAACGGAAAGTAAGCTTGAAACTATTTTCAATCAAGTGTACAATAAGAAGATGTTTTTTAGATTATTTATTATGCTTTCATTTGATCTTACATATGTTGATTTACTAAATGATGATGGTAAATACATGATATTTTATAAGAATAAATTTTTAATGTTTCATTTTGTATTCAAGATTTACCAGATCGATCTTGTATTTTTTATGTATCTCATCCACAAACATGGTCAACAGCTAATGTACGTGGATATTTTTCTCAATGGAATCTTCTTGCTTATGATCAATTGGATTTAACAACACATATAATTGCAGTATCATTAGAAAACGATACAATACAGACAAGTAAAAATATTTCAAAGAAAAACAACACATAGAACTGAATAAAACAAAATCAATATAATTGTGATTTTTTTGTTTTTTTTTTTGTAGTTTTATCAAAAATGCGTGCAAACGAGAAAAATTTAATCATAACTCCTTATGCAGAATATCATCGTCTTGATACTTCAAAAATAAAAACTAAAGAACTTGATCCTCTTTTTGATCTGAATCCAAACAATAGAAGATCTAATAATTGGGTTTGTATTGATAAAGATACAGTAGCATAAATTTAAGAAGTTGCAATAATTGCGACTGTAAATTGTTTAATTGAACTTCGAAAAACTTAAGTTTTGTTTTTTGTTTGTGTTTATTATAGTCGATGAATATTCCTTCGTATTCAACAGAAAAATCTATACAGACAATGAACAGCTATAATCATATATCATCAGGTAATAAAATTAGTTCAACAATTAATTGAGAGAAAACAACAAGAAAAAGTAACAAGAATTAAAAAACAAGGATTATTTTGATTTATCATGATAAAGAGCTATTATTTGATTTGATTTGACATTATCAGTCCTGATCACTAGAATTTGTTAATAGTTTTCTAGCATATATTCTAGAAAAAAAGGAAACATAGGAAAATATATATAGAGAGGACAAGAAGAGGAGGGATGTATACAAACCTGATTGAAATCATTGGACTTTTTTATGTTCGGTATCAATGAATGAAACATAGAATGAAAGAATGCAACGTGGCGAACATTTTAATAATAAATTTGAGGTGCTTTAGTAATATATGATAGAAATGTGTCTACACTCTGAATCTGAAGATCATGCGGCATAAATATGATGTAGGACATGGACAATATATGGCGTTGTTAAGAGACGATCGTAGAATCATGTGATACAGTTCAGCATGCATTCGATAGTGCTTGAGTTAAGTTATATTTCGAAGAACAAACCCCTATTCTCAATGAGCTCTTTTTCTGAGAAGTTGTGTACATATTGTCTTGATGTCGAAGAAAACATCAGCACACGCACCTCTTTCTTTCGTCCTTGATCCAAATAGACGTTTCTGCTTCAACCTAGATGATGCCTAATTTGGTGTTCAGTTAAAAATCCGACAAGCTGATATGGTTTTGAAACTCTAAAAAACCTGATCACTAGAGCATTATAAGGATGTTAGAATAAAAAACTAGTTTGAATTTCTATACATAGCAAACATATGATTCACTTTGATGCAAATGGACTGGAGTGTTGCTGGATATGATTAATGTGTAGTAGGAGATTAAATGTGAATGTAGACATAGCTGAATATATGGTCTTCAGCCACAGTCATACACTAATCTATATCCACATGTAGATCTACGATGCCGAGACGTCAAAGCATCGAGATAGTCACAACCACACCCGTACTTCACATCTTCTCGTGCAAGGGTTTTAAGTGCTCGAATCTGTGAGTTGTAGCTTTTTCAAGGTGTCATTCGACAAAATACATTCAAATTTAAAGCAAGAAAGTCTACTTGAGTCAAAATAAATCATGCTGTCAATGTATAGTAACTTGGGTTAGTTTTTCAATTGGTATTCTTACAATGTTTTAATGATCAAGTTTTTTAGAATCTGAAAACCATATCAACTTGTAAAATTTTCCAGGGACAATAATATGAGGTATGATGCAAATTGAAACAAGAAAGTTAATTTAGATCAAGAACAAAAGAAAGACGTGCGTATGTTGATGTTTTTTCCCATATCAGAGCAATACGTATACAACTTCTCCGAGAAAACAGTTCGTTGAGAAGACAGTTTGTCCTTCAAAATATAGCCTAACTCAAGGACTATCGAATGGATGTTGAATAATAGATCATGGTTCTATGAGATTCTTTTAACAGCATCACACATTGTCCATGTGTCTCTCTATATTTATGTCGCATGATCTTCAGACTTGAGGTGTAGACACACACACACCTTTCAAATATTACTAAAGTACCTCGATTTTACTATTAAAATGTTCGCCATGTTGCATTCTTTCATTCTATATTTCATTCACCGATATCAGACATAAAAAGGCTAATCAGATTCTCATACGCCCACTTGCTTACTATTAATAATTAAGTGATTATATTAACGTTTTATATTAAGTGTTAAGTAAAGTCACTTAACAAATATATTGAATTAATTCGCATTAAATAAAATAATCCATCACTATAATAATCTGATAAACAAAAGTGTTCTATTGGTTTACTTTTTAAGTATTGATGCAAATCGATATTTTCTAGAGCGGATACTTTTTTTTTTTATATATTATCTAATTAATTGTTAAGTAACAATAATCTTTCATTATTTATTTCATTAATATTTGATCATCTTCATATTTATCTCTAGCCATGACTGATTCACATGGCACTAATAATTTTGTTGTACGTCTTCGTGGTTTACCCTGGAGTACTAAATCAAGTGAAATACACGATTTTCTTAAAGGTATTTGTTATTGATTTAATTAGATTTATGATTATGTAAAAAAAAACACTTCATTGTTATTTAGGTTGTAAAATTCGTCAAATAAATTTTGTAACCAATAATCAAGGTCGATCAACTGGTGAATGTTTTGTTGTATTAGAATCAAGCGAAGATGCTGATATTGCAAAAAGTTTTAATTATAAAAATCTTAGTACTCGTACGTATTGTTACAAAATTTTTTTCACGACAGTTTCATAAATAGTGATAAATGTATAAGATAAATAAAAAGCACGTATACTACAAAGATAGATTATGATATTAAGAGTAGTGATGTTTATATCGTTGGCAAATTATGAAAGCAAAAGAAAAATAATATTAGACTATTGTGTAAATAGAGACAGAAAAAGAAATAAAATAGATCAGTTATGATTAAGTCATTGGTATTAGTGCTCTTTCATGTATTTTGTAATTACGAGTTTTTTTTTCTGAAGAACAGTAATGGTGATGCAATCAAGAGAAGGCTAAAGCCTAATTACAAGACTTTTTGCAAGGTTATATTCGGAAAAAAAGTACAAAACTATTATTTGTCCAAAAACATAGTGATCATGACTATTTTTGATATAAATTGAGACCGGAAGCAACTAGCGACCTGCGATTTTCACTATTCACGAAAGCGGATCTAGAGCCGTCAAAGTGTATTGAAAAATGATTGGTCAGTAATTGACCAATTTGGTGAGCTCTTGATGAGATTATAGAAAACGATATTTCAAAGGTATTTTCAATTGAATTTAGGCTTTGAAAGAGACTATCCGATAGAAACAATTCTTCTCTTTAGATCTGAGCAAGGCTGACATTCTTAGCTAGTTCCATTCACAAGTTATAACACTTTCTCTAAGACTTCCGATTTCAGCTAATCGACTTGTGATCATCAGGAAAACCCTTATCTAAATATGTCTAAAGATTCAACAATTAGTCCCCATGAAATGGAGACACCGATATTGAGATAACAGTGGTAGGTGATTTTGAATCTGAAAACAAATGGCACTATTCGACTCAGGAAAAGTCTTATGAATTGCAAATGTTAAGCAGATCGAAAAAAAAAGAATTTTTTCTATCGTATAATCATATTAAAAGTCTTAATTGCGATTAAAATAGCTTCAGATTATCATTTTCACAAATCTCTACCACGAATTTAGCTGATTTATCAATTGCGAACTAATCAAACTTCGATATACTTTGACGGCTTCAGATCTCCTCTCTCGAACGGTGAAAATCGCAGCTGTGTAACTCTTTCCATTCGTAAATTATTCCAAAAATTTGGCCATAGCCAGTATTGTTTTGCACCCGCAATAGATTGCTAGGACTTGAATATTAGATTTATTCTACTGTGATATTTAAAATTTTGTTTGTAATAGTTAGTTCAACGAAGACTTATGAAACGAATTTGAGTTTTTCTATTACAAATTCAATAATCAATAATGCTTTCATTGACATTATTGAATTATTGATATGACGACTGCCTTCATAGTTGAAAACTATTTTGTTTTCAAGATTTTGTTTCTCTACCTTATGTCAAAACAAGTATTCTCATGGATGTTATTCATATTCGAAATTATTGACAAAGATGTTATTTAACTGATAAATCGCTTTTCAGTCAAAACTACGTGCATCATACAGATCCATATGAGCTATGAATATCAAGAACAATGGTCGTGATTTTAGTTTACTACTATGGAGACATGACATTTTTAGGGTAGTTGTTTTTATTGAATGGTATGGTTTCTGTTAACAAAAAATCATTTTCGAATTTTGACTTGAAATTTTATAGAGAGATAGGTCTTAATTGTTGTAAGTTGATTCTCTTCTACCCGAAAATAAGAATATCAAGTCTACTGATGTCAAAGATGCGTGTTTACTATAACTGTACTTTAATATAAGATTTGAGACTTTCACAATAAACTATTGTCGTTAGAACCTTCCTCTGCATAGACACTGTCATGTTGCAATTTTAAGATGTCTAAACTCTTTGAAGAGCATTCGTTGCTTATTTGGGTTTTCATATTGAAGCGGTCTTGGTTGTAAAATGATTAATTTGCTGAGGATTTCTCTTGTAAAGTGTAATACGGAAATAAGAACGTTCACGATATTGAATAGTATAGTGTAGCCCAGTTCTTCACCTACATCCTTGTCATCTCTTACCGGAAGAACAAAAATGCATAAAATTGCTCAATTCTAGCTAATTTGGTCATTGAAATTCTTTCCATATTTCATATTTTTTTCGTCGTGAAAAACATTTTTTTTTCAATCAAAGTAGGATTAGCCTAATATTCATTAAAAGATAATAATAATAAATAGTTAAAAGTTGAATCGTGCTTCGTCTTGTATTGTGTTGACAGTTGGACTCGTCGTATGCAAGATTTGAAGATGCGAACCGGATGATCTCTAGTGAACAGAACATAGTATGTCATACATTAAGGACAAATTCTGAGAGGACTAAGCCAAATTGTGGATGGATGCTACATCCTCGTTCAATAAAACATTGAATTAAATCAGCACAACAAAAGAAAAACAAACTCTAAGTCTTATATTTATTTAAGGTTATATTGAAGTATTCGGATCTAATGCCGACGAAATGGCTCAAATGATAAAAAATAATAACAATAGAAATAGTCATCAAAATAATGATACGAATTCTGCAAATACAAATAATGACAATTGGCGCGAACCAGTTGTTCGTTTACGTGGTTTACCGTATAATTCATGTAAAGAAGATGTAATACGTTTTTTTAATGGTATTTATATAATGACCTAGAAACTATTTTAAAAAATCTATATTGTTTTGTCTATTTTTTGGATTGTCTCACCTTGTAGAACTCGACATAGCTGAGAATGGTGTACACATTCCTTCAAGAAAACACGCAGGTGAAGCTTTCGTCGCTTTCGTGAACATGGATAATGCTCTACGAGCTTTGGAATACAACCACATGAATATGGGCCATCGGTACGGTAAACTGAGAGAGAAATAAAGAGAAAAACCTTCATTTCCTATCATAGAAAGATAAAATTAATCAAATAGAATTTTATGAAAAAAATTTCTTGAATAGAATTTTATTATTTTGCTTTTGAATTTCCTAATCGACTAATTTATTGGCGCCAAAAAAGTTTTTGTTATATATTTAATCCATAATTTCCTATTATGTCCTATATTATTTCTAAAATTCATATAATTTTTCTACTTCTTTAAAAGAAACTATTTTAATATTTTAATTGTATGATTATCATTAAAAATAGCTATATCGAAATATTCAAATCGACATATGCTGAAGCTCATATCTCAGTCATGAATGATACACAATCATTGACACAGCAACGTGATAGTGGATCTAATCAAAATTATGGAAATCAACAACAAGGAAATTTAGGTGGTCATAATGGAAATATGAGTAGAAGCGGTGGTGATGATGTTGTTGGATATAATGATAACATGAATCAACACGGTGATGCATCACTAGATAATTACAATTCTTAAGGAGGAAACTGTAATGTTGATAATAATTTTCCAATGAATAATCAAATGCGTAGTGATGATAGAATAAAACGTGAGAGTTGAGAAAAGAACAAAAAAAAAGACATTTTAATGGTTCCTATTTAAATACCATGCTTTTAATAAAACTTATATGAAAAATCGAATATTTTTTGTAAGCGATTTATTGAAAATATTTCTAACGATAGGAATACTTATATTGTAAGTTAGAAAAATCGAACATATTTGAATCAAAATAAAGCTCTAACCGTCAAACTAACAAATTTAAAATATGCCATGTCTTGACTGAAATGTTTTGATTTCAAGGTATTTACAGATTAGATATTGAGAATGAGAAAACATAAGCATTATTTATATTAGTTGTTTTTCTAAAGTTTCTTCATGTTCAGTCTGTAAGTTTCCAGGAATTATTACAAAGCCATGAATCACATCAGGACAGAACAAGTTTTGATGTTTTCTAAAATTTTTGCAGTATCGAGTCAGAAAAAGATGGACTTCAATTCATGCAAATCCGTGCATCATTGGTACTTTCATTTTTATTGTGTACTCAAAAAGTGAGTACACTATAGAATCGGTCAGTGTGTTCGTCCGGCCGTTTACACGATAACTTTCGAAAGGAGAGTCAGATCGTGATGAAATTTTCTACACAGTTCAGTCTCATCAATGTCTCGGTCGAGTTCGAAGATGAAAAGGATCCGTCGAGAAATGGCTGAGTTATCGAAAAAAATTGTCGTTATCGACCAGACCATCCCTGAGGAGGGGTACAGGGATTTTTTCAAAAAAAAAAAATTTTCTCAGAATTATTCACAACATATATAAATCGACTCAGTTGGGTGTGGGGTGTGGGTGTGGGTGGCTGGGTGTGGGTGAGGGTGAGTGTGGGTGTGGGTGAGTGTGGGTGTGGGGTGTGGGTGGATGTGGGTGAGTGTGGGTGTGGGGTGTGGGTGGGTGTGGGTGTCGGTGTGGGTGTGGGTGTCGGTGTGGGTGTGGGCATTTGCACAACCCAGTCAGTCAACAATAGAGAAAAAACTCGTTTTTACGCGTTGAAATGTGCGCTTTTAACGTTTTGTAACGCGTTTTCCAGCAAAAAAACGACTTTTAAACGCTTGAGCAACGCATATAAACGCGTTTTTTTTCACTTAAAAGACAAAATATCGCGTTTATACATGTTAGAATGTGCGCTTTTACCGTTTTTCGAAGCGTTTTCAAGCGAAAAAAAACGTTAAAATAATGCGTTTAAACGCGTTTTTTTCCGATCTTGACTGCCTGGGAAGGGAACAACACACACTCACACCCACACCCAAGATGAACCTAGATTTTAAAAGTCTCTTATGTCATGTATCGTGACTTTTTATAGGAATAGGTTCGAATATCTTTAAATGCTGACTCCGTGAATGAATGAAATCGTTCTTAATGAAAAAAGACGGCAGAGAAACTGCCATGTAATCGAAAGATAGGTGGATTTTTTCTTCTTATTTTTCTATCTTTATTTCGATCTACATGAAAGACGAAATTGTATTGAGGTTGATGTTTTGACTTTGTTAAGATAAGAACACGTAAAAGTTTGTATCAACTTTAGTCGACATCATCGATGCATTCTCGCATTTTTGAGTCAAGGGTGCCAACTGCAGCTTACACGAACTTTGATGTTCGCTTATCTTGATTGTTCGGCTTCGGTTCATTTCCCCATTCTAATCCATATTTTTCGTGATCTATATGAATTGATTTACACTATCATCATCATATGCTAGTTGACACGACAAATGTGCTAACCGTAATGTGTTCTGTTAACACGTGCACGACTACCGGCTTGAATTCAGCTTCAACCAATGGGTGCCCAGCATTGACAACGTGCTATGATTTTCCAACAGCAAATAATACTAGGTATTGTGCATAGCTGCCATTTGTTCTTCATTTGAGTCATGCAATATTGGGGGTCAGTGTCCATCAAATACTTCAGTGTGCGTCGTGAATAGCTGTTGCTCTCCAAGATCAGTCTGCCTACCACGATCGCTACTAGATTTCTGTACTCAAGTCAATAAAACGAACAGCACAACCATTACAACCACCAGTAAATAAGTGTTCTTGAAACCAACCATAATGGAAACTTTATATGAAACATTTAGGCACTGCGACTACAATATTTAGCAACTCGATGATTTTTCCAACAAAAGCCCTTTCTACGACGTCAATTGCAAGTAACAGTAAGACTGAATGAATATTTATAACTTGTATGACTAGGTCACTTAGTATATCCCTTTCAAGGCGATGTGATTCTACAGAGCTTCCAAAAATGTTTTTCCAAAGATTTCAGCTCAAATCAAAGAGATATACAAGTGATTTTTATATAAAATGAAAGGCCGTTAAAAACGGGATTTAAGAGTATAACTGATAATTCATAGGGTGATAATAAGCTATAGAATCACGGACAGTTCCAAAAATGTTAGGGATGTAACTAGTGTACTTCTATGGGTAGTCATACATGAAAACAAAAAGTTCTGGGAAGATGTCTTCGTCTATCAGATTTTGTGGAGCTATCTGTGCTGATCATTTTGATAAAAAAATATTCTAAGTTTGACCAATAAATGACGATGCTATGATTAAAATACTGAAACACGTTATGAGACTCGTATTTTCACTCCATCAAATGAGTTGAATGATAATATCACGAAAGAGAAGATAGATGGTCAGAATGCAGCTACATTTCGTTTGAGCGCACAACTTCATGATTGGGCTGTTTTATATACTACTTAGAGTGTATAGAATAAAAGATGCCGCTAAGAATCATAAGAACATAAATGGTAGACTTCATTACCATCGCAATTTTTCAATTTTCATCTCAATAGATAAATAAACCTGTAGAAAGTTTCAATTTCTACACTAAAATGGTTTTCAAAAGCTAAACAACCCAAAGTGCGATCAAACCTTAGAGCTGTAATCCAGGTATATGAGGCTCAAGCTTTTCAAGCCTATACGTTCCGCCGCCTATGCTTAATTTTGATTATTCAGAAAAAAGAAACTAATTATAAAGACACTCAATCATTTATTGACAATTTGCTTCGTGAAATGTTATGTTTACTTGCAGTCGTGTAAGCGGAACAGAACATGAAAAAATGACGTGTGATACATATAACATCATTCATTAGTGATGGAAAGAAAAAATGCATAGCATATATATAGGTGGCTTTTTCCCTCAATACAAATTTATAATATTTTGCAACAAACTATAAAGGTAGTGACTAATTGGATATTTCCAATGTCGAAGAGCTATAGAACTATAAATTTGATTTCGAATGAGCTGACTTTTCAGCACTTTTCACTACACGCAATCTATTGTCAACAACCCAAAAGATAACTGTTGATAATTCATATAAGGTAAGTTTGTTTATATTGTAGTGAATAAAATAAATAGATGAGAGGAAACATAAGATTGTTTATTAATTTCATTCAATGCAGCTTGTTATTTCTCTTCTAGATTTACCTTAACACCATTCATAAAATACAACATAATCGTTACTCAATTACAAATCTTTTTCTAAACAAAAATGTTAAGTGTTGATTTACTTTATGAACAGGTAGGAATAAAAGGGAATGTGTCAACTCGTCACGTTTTTTCTTGTCTGGTTTTCGTAACGAATTGACAGTACGAAAGCCCGTGACAGAGCTTTCGTAACGACAAAATCAGGGCTTTCGTAACAAAAAATCAGGGGTTTCGTAACAAAGTTTACAGGGTGATCGTAATTGGTGTTTTAATATGTACCATTACAGAGCTTTTGTAACGAAAAGCATGTAATTTCTGCAAACTCAGTTCAGCTATCACCCTCATCCTCATTACGAAATCCCTGTTGCTTCGTTTCGAAAGCTCTGCAACTGTTACGAACTCCCTGTATTAATCGTTACGATCGTCCTGTAAATTTCATTACGACATCCCTGCATTTTTGGATATCCCTATTTTTGGTGTTACGAAAGGTCTGATTTTTGCTGTTTGTTCAACTCGTCACGTGACGAGTTGAGACGTTCTCGAATAAAAGTTTGTTTTATCTTAAGAAAAATTCAGTCTTGTTTTAAAATCGATGTACTTTTTGAGTTTATGAAAACAGGACATTTTCTTAAAAGGATAATCGATCTTTTTTTTTTCTTGTTTTATAAAAAAAAATATTTCATTGTCATTTTAAATGAGTAATTTATTTTAATGTTTTATAGTTCTCGCAGAATCAATCGTTATTTACTGATGCAAAAAAGCATTCAGAAATGCCACTAAAAGCACGAAAACTATTGGAAGAAATAGGGGATGAACCCATTATGAAAATCCAACTTGGTCGTAGACCTGTAAAAGATCTTGCCATTAAAATACTTAACTTTTTAAGTTATTCAAAATTTGCTGATAAACAATATGAACTTGGTTATGATGAAATCTATCACAATTATTTGCTCGTCACTGTTCAGAATAATCATGGATTCAATGTATTACAAAATATTGTTCGAAATGCACCAGAAAACACAAATGGTAAAACAGTTCTGGTACTTGAAAAATCATTCCGTATTGGTCTCAGAGACCCAGTTATACCTGATGAAATGATAGATCTATACGATATTCCGCTACCACCAAATAAATCATTAACACTGAATCAATTAATTACCACAACATTATATGCTGAAAAAGACTTCTTTGTATATGATGCTGGTGAAAATAATATGTGCCAAACGTTTGTCAAAAGTGTTCTTGAAAGCAATGGTTTGATGCCTAACATTGTTGATGAAGCAACATTAGAAGCGCTCGAACCAATCGATTCTAAAACATTGGTTGCTACACTAGACGAGCTGTCTGGTTTAGTTAAACTAACAACTGATATAGCTGCGAAATTACACAGGTTATTGTTTGATCGCAAGATTAAATTGAAGTCGAAAAAAAGGAAAGCAAAGGAATTTATTTCATTGCGCGATGCCAACATAATTAGTTCGGAGACTACCATTGCAATGTACAATGCGATGTGTCAGATCGAACACGACAGTAAGAGTAGGAAGCGTATCAAACTTTATTGCTGATATTCATTTTTTTTTTGCAGTACGCCCGATTTCTCAATGTTAGACGTCATTTCAATCATCCTAGAAGTACATATATCTTTAGGCAAAATATTTCTTCAGATATCAATTACCGAAGAGTCGATAAATACCTTCTTAGTAAAGTTTTTCAATGTCTTTTAAATTAGGGGTGTGGGTAGGTTGGGTGGGTGTGTGGGTGTGGGTGTCTTGTCTTCGTTCACATCCACACCCACACCCATATCCCACACCCCACACCCACACCCACCCTCGATTCTTCTCTCCTTGTCTCACACTTACTCTCTGATCCATGCCCTGCTCTCATTAAACAAGAATCGATTATAATCAACAATTTTCTTGTATATATTTTCCTGAGACATTCTATACTTTTCTCAATTTGCTTATATCGAATATTTACTAAACTTTCATAAATGAAGAACAGTTGCTAAAAACATACTATCTACAAAGCCACCGAGGTCTTTGCAAAAGAGAGTCAACGGAAAAGATATATATTTTTTAAAGTTTTTTCGTTCTTTATGTGAATGACTCGTGAAATGCAAGCAATACTTTTTTTAGAATGAAGCTAAATCGAAAGCGATTTTGAATAATATAAACTAACGCATTGCTAAGAATAATATATCACAATGAAATACAGAAATATATACTCAAGCATCCTAAACAGGTGCATTTCGAATGCTGATATTGACATGCTTCCACGTTTTAAAAGTGAATTTTGAGTATATTCTGTTATCTTTTATTTTATATGGTGCATTTTTTTCCTTTATCTTGCGTATTTATAGATGCAAGTAAAGGGCTCCTCTATTTAACCATTGTGAAAGAACATCTTCTGCTTCATTTGCCCCTTAGAAATAACCAGAAACATTATTACAAAGAGAATGGCTACGAGCCAACAACTCAACATTGAAGTCCTTACTCCTAGTATTGGTGCGGTAATCCATAACTTGGATTTATCACAAGCAATAACTGACGATCAAAAATATGAATTAGAAGAAGCACTCTACAAACACCACGTGCTCTTTTTTCGTAATCAAAATTTAACATCTGAACAACAACGTGATTTTGCTCGTCTATTTGGTGATCCACATGTACATCCAATTTTTTCGCATACGCCAGAGTGTCCAGAAGTAAGTGTCTTGGAATTTGGTGTAAATGTTGATCCGGATAAAAAACCAGATTCTGATATCTGGCATACTGATGTTACATGGTCAACGAATCCACCAATAATTGGTATGCTTTATGCAAAAATTATACCAAAACAAGGTGGTGGTGATACACTATGGGCAAATATGGTTGAAATTTATAAACAAGAATTATCAAATGAAATGAAAGAAATTCTTAGTAAACTCACAGCTGAACATTCATTTGCATACGCAGTTCAATCTTTGATTAAACTTGATTCTACTGCTATGGTGAAATTCATGAAAACTAAAGAAGCAAATCCACCAGCTACTCATCCGGTTATTTGTCAACATCCACATACTAAAGAAAAATATCTATATGTTAATAGAATTTTTACCACGAAGATCAATGAATTAAATGAACAAGAAAGTAATTTACTATTACAATATTTATTTTCATTGGTTAACAAAAGACCAGAATTTACATGTCGATGGAAATGGAATGAAAATGATGTTTGTTTATGGGATGAACGGTCAACACAACACTATGCAACAGCTGATTACTGGCCACAGCATCGAAGAATGCATCGATGTGTAATAATGGAAAAGAAAGATAAAGTCTAGCTTCTCTAAAAATAAAAATTGTATATAAGAATGACAGATTGATTTGAATTAATGTTTTTTTTTGATTATATGCTACTAATTGAATATTTTAAGAAAAGAACGAAGTTGTAAATTAATCTTGAAATTTTGTAAAACGAATAGTCGATATTTCACGATAATTCATTCAATTTGTACTTGTTTTGGAATAGCAGTGTGTATATTTTAAATAAAAAAAAAAACGAACTATAAATTATTTGTTTTTCAAAAAGATAGATTCGCGTCGGGCAGAAAATGAAAATTACAAGGATCAAATAAGGAAGCCAATGGTGCAAAAACAACCAATTCAGACTGAATTCATAAAGTGAGAGAAGAGAGTACAGTCAGTTATTTAGACCAGCAAACGGTCATCATTCATTCAGCGTCTCTATACACTTGATGTGATAGCATATCAACACTATTGAGATATAAAAAGAACTGTGATTCATCATCGTTCCATTCAAAGAATGATGATTAATGATTATTCGTAATACAAACCATATTTTCGAAGCGATGTTCTCTGATTATTTGTGATAATTCAGTTATTTTCTTGAGCATGAAACATGAAAACAGTTGTTTGAAATTATGTGTGGGCGTGTGGGGTGAGGGTGTAGGTGTGTGGGTGAGAGTGTGGGTGTGTGGGCGTGGGGTGAGGGTGTGTGGGTGTGTGGGCGTGGGGTGAGGGTGTGTGGGTGTGGGGTGAGAGTGTGGGTGTACGTGTATGTGTGAGTCTCCCATCGTCTCTTCGGTCCACAACCACACCCACGCCCACTCCCACACCCACACCCACACCCCACCCACACCCACACCCACACACCATACCCACCCACACCCACATCCACCCCACCCACACCCACCCCCACCCACCCCCCCACACACCCACACCCACACCCACACACACCCACACACCCACTCCCACCCCCACACCGACACCCTTTCTAGTATATTCTAATTGGTTCTTTCTCTTTCTGTTCTATGCTTATCGGCTATCAAGAAGTTCTGTCGCTTTCTAACATTTTCAAGTGAATTCTTTCACCTTCTTTCGAATCTGTATATATATATATCCGTCATTCGGAAAATAGTCCATGATAAATCTTCTGATTAATATTCTGTCAGGTTTCACTTCATCAAAACTTATTTCTCTATGACGAACGTCGTTAACATATGTAAACATTTATATGAAAAGGCATTAGAAAGGTGAAGTGTTCATTCAATAAGTATCACAGAAGAAGATATATCGATCGCAATCAATCTGCTCGATCTATTGGAGGACCTTTCCAACAATGACAGCTTTACAATAGAAACAGAAGATTCTCTCGAAGTTTCTGATGTCGATCATTTTGACCCGGACTATCCTGTTGAAATCGAAGATGATGAAGAGCAACAAGTAATCGAAAATCGTCAGTTCAGTTTAGAATACATGCAAAGGGTTGTCGACTTTGCTCGTCCCGGTGTCGCTTTTACAACCGTACAGCATGCTTTTCGACGAGTTACACATCCTATGCAATTAAAGCGATTTCGAGAATATGTTGCAAATAACGGAAACCGTCGGCAAAAATTGGAGCGTGTAGAGCATTTTGTACTTGATAGATTTCGCTATGCTCGTAATAACAATTTACCTGTGCACGATCTTGACGTGAAGCGATGGGCTCTATCCCAAGCAAAAATAGAAAATATAGATGACTTTAAAGCAAGTGACTATTGGCTTCTCAATTTCAAAAAACGCAACGGTATATCTTCCAGAAAAGTGAGAAAATTCGTTTCTCATCGGGAAGTTGTTGATAAATCTATAATTAAACAGACTGCTGATGATTTTGTCGCTGAAGCAACCAAACATGTACCAAAATATAAGCTTGATTTTGTGCTAAATGCCGATCAATCCAGTTTTAATTACGAAATAACTTCGAACCGTACACTATCTTATGCAGGAGAGAAAGCGACTTATCTATCAGTAAAATCTTTGAATGCTATAAGCCATTCCTATACAGTTATGCCGATCATTAGTGCTGCTGGTCAGTTGCTCAGTCCTGTTTTTATTTGTCTTCAGGAACCCACGGGTCGGTTTCCAATGACAGGAGCGGTCTTTTCAGCATCAAATATAGTAACTAGTTGCAGTACATCTGGGAAATTAAATAAATCCTTAGTGGAATACTGGATTACAGAAGTTCTCGATAAAGTAGTCAGCAATCGATTCCTTCTTGTGGTCGATCAATGGTCACTGCAGGCTGGCATTACTGTATATGAGAATAACCTGACAAAAGGACAGTCATGTAAATTATTAGTGATACCTAGAAGAGCAACAGCAACTAAACAATCGTGTGATACTTATTTTTTCCGACAATGGAAAGTATTAACAAAAACAATATATCATCGTGTATCTCTAGACGAATTAGCTGTTGACTTAAGAAGTCGTGACGCTATAATCAAACTACAAAGTCTGGTTCATAATCAACTGAATTCTTCTTTATTTAAACCAATGAATTCATACGCATGGTCAACTTGTGGCTACATTCCTAAACAATACTCGAATTTTTCGAGCGTTATAGACGTCTGTTTTTCTTTTCATGCAGACAGTTGCTCAAATAATAATTGTGAACAGAGTGCATTTATTTGTTGTAGTCATTGTCGACGCATATTGTGTTTCGAACACTTTTTCACCGCGTATCATTTTCATTGATTGTGTTCTTGATATGTTTTCCGAATAAAACGAATGAAACGATAAAATGATAGTCTATGCAACTCGAAATACGAAAATCATAAAGCTTAAACTTCGGAATGTAGAAAAAAGCTTTCTTATGCAACTTCGGTTGGTCAAATTCTATCATGTAAATAATATTGCCATGCACAAAAATAACCTTGAGAATATAAAGAGCACCGTTTCTTTAAATAGTTTCGGGTGTGATATGTGAGAATCAGTGGCTCAAAGTACTATAAACAATTTTAAAAATTGCCTTTCTGTGCGAATGTTGTGCTTAAAAGTTCGATATTTCCAGTGTTATCCTGTACAAATGAAACTTACCAATTTTCTCATTTGAGGTCTATGGGCAAAAACGGAACATAACACAAGCATCAGCTCGTCGAGCTCTACAAACTGGTATATATTCCATTTAAAACTGAGACTCACACTTGGAAATGTTCCCTCGTCAGCCATATCTTGAAATGCAAAAAAGTATTATATACCTTTGCAAAAAAATCCAAGACATATGGATTTTCACCTATTTTCACTTTCGAACTTCATATATTTTAAAAGCAGTTTTACTGAAGGATATCAGAAATACGTCCAATCGACGCAGTTTTTCATGAAGAATCCGAATATATCACTTTTATAATTCCAAAGGGTTAAAAAATATTT